CTGTTGTAATAGTACCTTAGTTTAAGCGATTATTGGATTAGTATTTTCAGAATGTCTAATTATCCATATGTACTTTTACATTCTTTTAAAACTTAATATATTAAAATCTGTGCATTATTTTGATTCTCAAATCGCCCAAATTTGGCCAAGAAGGAACCTTTTTAAACTGGCACAACAAGATATTGTAATTTCCCTGTCCTGGACCTAAAACTACCATTTTCCCAAGGAACTCAGGTTCTTTTTTGTGGAGGAATGATGATACAGAAACCTAGGGCTAGATGCTGGGGCTGCTTATTGATACTGGGTTGTCATTACTGCTGGGCCCTTTTTAGTGGATAGAGCGTGTTTTTCCTTGCAGTCTGTTTGATATCATTTGTTGTTTTGTAATTAAGGGTATGGATTTTTCCCTCAATCATTGGTGATTTGTTTTTATATTTAATTTCAAATCATTAATATTGTTCAAAAATCAAAAGCTTTATTGAAAGGTATATTCAGAATATCTTCTTACCTATGTCTTGCCATTCTCACCTCCTATGGATAATTGCATTTTAATCCAATTTTGAAATGTATGCTTTGTTTTTCTTCCAGATGTACACACACACATATATGAATTCTTATTTACCCTTTCTTACACAGTTGCTAACATAGTATGTTACTTAATATATCCTGGATATCACTCCATTTCAGTTCATAGAGATCTTTATTTCTTTTTCACACATTTCCTTTTTTGGATATACCAGATTCACCAAATCTCATGTGTAATCAAATAAATTGTTTCCAATATTGTACTATTTCAAATAGTGTCACAGTAAATTACTTTTTTTTTTTTTTAAATGTTGGGGTTCTACTTTCTTGGTGGGTTCTTAGAACTAGATCAGAAGAAAAAACAATTTTGATTGATATTGCCCAATTACCTTTCTATAGACATTGTACAATTTTACAATCCTGCCAGCAGCATATGCTTATTTACTCATAGCCACATCAACGATGTGTTATCAAACTTTTGAGTTTTCACTGATCTAATGAGAAATGGTATCTCTGTAAAATAGAGCCCAAGTCTAGAAAGCTGTCTTGTGTCTACAGAGAACCACCTGGATTTCTAGTTAAATACAGTGAGTTAAACATCTCTGTTTCTCTCTCCTCTCTCCTAAAGTCACTAACATGAGAATAAAGAAATGCAAAGAACTTAAAAGTGTTTTTTGTTCTTTAATCAAGTGCTGTGCAGTTTTTCATTTAAGTGTCATTTGCATATATTTTTGGTGAAATATCTTTTTAGAACTTTTGCCCATTTTTCTAACAGTTTTGATTTTTATTTTTCTTCAATTTTAAGTGTTTTGGTGTGTTTGTATATATGTACTAGATATTGAACTTAGTAAGGGGCACTGAGCCACATCCCTAGCCCTATTTTGTATTTTATTTAGAGACAGGGTCTCACTAAGTTGCTTAGCACCTTGCTTTTGCTGAGGCTATCTTTGAACTCGTCATGATCCTGCCTCAGCCTCTCGAGGTGCTGGGATTACAGGCCTGTGCCACCACACCTGGCCTCTTTTTGTTTTTGATATATATTACAAAAATTTTTGTCATTTGTCTTTTGGATTTGGTTTTGATTAATTTCACCATGATTAATCTTTTCCTCTTTATTGCATGGTGCTATAGAGAAAGACCTTAAAAAGTTAATTGGAAGTTTTATATGCAAGACTAAGGCTTACAATAGGCAAGAATCTTTGATGTTTCATTTGACTTAAGAATCTATCATATTCTTAATGGGTAGAGATAGAGAAGGACTTTTTTCAGTGGCCAGGTGTGTGTGTGTGTGTGTGTGTGTGTGTGTGTGTGTGTGTGTGTGTTTTGCTAGGGATTGAACTCAGGGCCTTGTGCATGCAAGGCAAGCACTCTACCAACTGAGCTATATTTTCTTCCTGCCCATTGCCATGCCTGGTATCCTCAGTTATATATCTTTCTTGGTTCATTTTTCCATAATAAACCTCTGTTCTCTTGTTCTGGTAGGAGAATGGTAGTTGCTTGCCTGGATGTCATGGATTGGGAGCCTGAAGATCTGTGGGTTTTTTTTTTTTTTTTTTTAACTTGTAGATAGACACAGTACCTTTATTTTTATGTGGTGTTGAGCATCAAACCCAGTGCCTCACCTCATGTGTGGTAGACAAGCACTTTACCACTGAACTACAGCCCCAGCCCTAAGGGTCTGTTTGTATCATCATTACCTGAAGAGTTATGGAGCTATGGATTCCGTAGTGAGAATTTATTTACTTTTTTCAGCATTCAGGTTATCCATTTTCTCAGTCCTATTTATTTGTTCATGTATTTTTTTAATTTTCTGTTTTGCTGCTGACTTTCCTTAAGTTCTTTTTCTAGAATTTTATTCCTTGTCACTTTAGTGGGTTTTGGGGAGAGGAGAGACACGATGTTTAAATTCACATTGTAGGGGCTGGGGATGTGGCTCAAGCGGTAGCACGCTCGCCTGGCATGCATGCGGCCCGGGTTCGATCCTCAGCACCACATACAAAGATGTTGTGTCTGCCGAGAACTAAAATAAATAAATAAATAAATATTTTAAAAAAAAATAAAATAAATTCACATTGTAAATTCCAGTAGTTTTTTTGTATATACTGTTTTTCCTCCGTAGGGTTGCTGGATGATCTCAGTGAAGCTTTTTATAATGTACATTTATTAAAGATTTAGGGATTGTGTGTCATTACTCAGATAATTCTGATCAGTAGTTCTGACATTGTTCACCTCTGTCCCTGTTTTATGCCCTGTTTAACCTCAAAAGCAGCAAGTTTTTAAATTTCCAAGGAAAAAAGATTGTTGGTCCTTGAAATTTAGTTGCTGCTTTGAGGGCCTCTTTGCCTTCTCCAAAGTTGATCAAATTTCATTGTATCTGATGTAGTCTGTAGTAGGCAATTACTAATTTTTTGTAGTTTGATTTTTTTTTAAATGAATCCTCCTCCCCCACTTTTCATTATGGTGGTTTTCAGGAAGTTGAAGTAAAACATTTCTTTTCAAATGCAATTAATATGGGGTTTTACTAATATTTTTTTATATGTGGACACAATATCTTTGTTTATTTTTAAATGTGGTACTGAGGATCAAACCTAGTGCCTCACACTTGTGAAGGAAGCACTCTGCCACTGAGCCACAACCCCAGCCCTTAATATGATTTTTAAAATGTTGTTCAAAAGCATATATTTCATTTTTGAAATTGAATACTTGGATGAGAAGCTATGCTAAAACCTTTTCTCAAATCCTTGTAAAGTTCTGTATGAGATTATGGTTGTGGTCTAACTCATTTGGTTGCCATTATCACGTCACCATAGAAAGAAGATGGTCCCTGAACCTAGAGAGCTGCAGAATGCCCTTTCACTACTGGTTATATTAGTTGTCTCTAACAGTGCTGCTCCTCCTTCCCTCTGTGTGTTTGCTCCAGGATCTCCCATGTGGACCCTTTCCCATGCTTGCCTATAGTTTCTTTTCCCTTATAAGTCCAGTTTACACACAAGTCAATAAGAGACACTCCACTCTCTCTTGCCTACTGACTTTGCTGCTACTGCTTTTTACTATTGACTAGTATAGTCTCTCACTCTTTCTTAGGCTGATTCAATCAGTTTTTCTTGGAACTCTTTTTGTTTCACTCCTCATTTGTCCCTAGCCAAACTACAAATTGGGATTATATTCCAGCTCTGCTCAAGCGTCTTACCGTGTTGGGGTGGAGAGTGTCGGGAGAATAGTGAGACAGTAGGGAAACATGATGACTGCCTAAGCAGTAAGGAATCAGGGAACGAGACAGTTTTCTTTGGTAAGTAAGGTAGTAGAATAAAACTGACTAATGACCGATTGTCTCCTTTAGTAGGTTTATTTTTAATGGAGTACTTCAGGCAAATATTTAGTAGTTAAAACTAATAATTGTGGGAGACGAACTAATATTTAATTTGTCAAAAATGTGCCCTGGCTTGATGCTGTTGTTACTTGTGTTATGACTTTAGTAACAGTATGGTGAAAAGACCACTTGATACTGTTTTTTTGTTATTATAATGAAATACCCAAGGCTGAGTAACTTTATTTATTCTTCATGTTATTTATTCTTTTTAGATGTACATGAGTATATTTTGACATATTTTTATAAATATGGGTCTGGTAACTTTAGAAAAGTGGTTTCTTTAGCCCATGGTTGTGGAGGTCAAGGGCATGGTACTGGCTGGTATTAGTGTGGCTCTGGTGAAGGCCTCACAGTGGCAAGGAGGGATCACATCATCAGACAGGAGGAAGCTAGAGAGCCAGTAAGAGGTTAGGCTCAGACTTTTATAACCCTAGAATTCCATTAGAACTACTTTAATCCCTTCTGAGGGCATGCCACCAGTGATCTAAAGACCACCCACAAGGCCCCACTTTTTTAGGGTCCCATCCCCTCTTTACCACATGGGGATGAAACTTCCAACACAGGAAATCTTGGGGGACTTACTCATATTCTAGCCAAACCATAGCAACTACTAATGTAGATGTCAATGAGAGGAGTCTTAGATTGTAGGCTGTTTTTGCTGTTCTGAAAGCCTTCACATTCTTCCTTATAAGTTCTAAAAATATTGAGTAGTTTCTAAGGTCCTATGAGACTGTAAAAACTTGTGACTCTGTGTACCTTTTCAGGTTGGGAAAGGTAATTTTCACTAAGATGGTCGTATTGGAAAGCTACTATAAAATGAAATTATATGTGTCGATAGATTAATGCAAGAAATTAGAAACATGAGAATTACTGGACCAGAACATTAGGAAGAGTGAGAATTCTCATTTGAACCTGTTTCTTTTTTTTTTAATGATAGGATGATTTTAATAAACTAATTTAAATATGGTCACAAACTTTTCTCACTAAATTGTACACAAGTACTATAATGCATTATTGTGTGATATTGAAGTTTGAGATGCTTTTTAAAAATCATAGTTGGATTATTAAGAATAGTCAAGTGACTTGGGTTTCTTTTATTTTTTAGGATTTAAGTGCCCTGTATGCTCAAAATTTGTACCCTCTGATGAAATGGATTTGCACCTTGTGATGTGTTTAACAAAGCCAAGAATAACCTATAATGGTAAGTCCACTGTCCTAATAATTTTAAATAGAATTACCTTACATTTTGTAAATTTCGTTTTTTCAGTAAAATTTAGATGGTAGGAAGGCCCTTGTGCCCTCTGCTAGACCATTAGTCATTCTGAGCTGTTCTCAGGGACCCTTCTCTCAAAAAATTACTGAGAATTTTAGAGAGCTTTTGTTTACTAGGTTATATATGTCAATGTTTGGCATATTAGGAATTAACAGAATTAACCTTTTTTTACTTAATTCAAGCATTAAATGTAATTATGTTGACATAATTTTTAAGTGAAAAAAGGTAAATTTTCTAAGTCAAAAAATACTTAATGACTAGAGTGACATTTACATCTTACATCTTTGTAAACTGTGATGTCTGGCTTGATGACAAAGAATTCTCTATCTTTTCTACATTCAGTTTGTTGTGATATGACACTTCATGTGTCTTCTGGATACTTCCATTGTTACAGAGACAATGGGAATGAAAAAGGCAAATGATGGTTTAGTGTTAATATAAAAATTGTTTTTTACCTTCTAAAACTAAAAAGAATCTCAAAGACTCCCTTAGTTCCCTTACTCCAGAAAATTCTTTTGGGAACTTCTACACTGAAATAAAATATTTCAGGTCAAGCCTAAGTAATAAGTAGTTTTCGAAATGACCATTTTTCTAAAGTAAGCATGCATGGATGAAATTGCAGCTTTTTTCTTAATTATTTAAAGTATATGATAAACAAAGGATACGTATTTAGGAATACAGAATAAAAGTTTGTAAGTATAGTAAATAGATGGCTAAATGGAAGAAAAAAAGGAATGAAATAGAGATGAACTCCACTTATGCCATGCATTTACATCTGTTTCTGTCTTTGTCCCCAAAACATTTCTATTCTGCAATTCCTGAGGGTAGTTGGCACTTTAGTTAGGTCTGGTGCTTTAGACTGTGCTATTCTTTCTGGACCAAAATCCCTAGCTATTTATTTAGTATCTAGGAGAGATCTTACGTATAGTCTTGGCATACTTTGGAATAAACGTTGGGAAAAAAATCAAGTAGTTTTTTCATAATAAATTGACTAAGAGAAAAGTGAAAGTTCTTCCCCTCAAAATTTTATAAACCGAAAAATTCAGAAGAAAAATTTTAGATGTAAAATTTGGTTTGAAATAAGTCAATAGAATATTAATCAACAGTGAAGCTAGTTGAAAGATGGACTGGATGCTTCAAGTATCTTTTGAGCATCTATTATGTATAAGGTATGTGTTAGGAAGTAGGACTATAACAATGAATAAATTACGGGTGGAGCTTATAGTGTCACTGATTTCTCTGAGCTAAAATTTATTGGTTATTTAAAGGTATTACATGAAAAACATAGTAAGTGTACAAGCAGTTTACTAATCAGGAGATTTCTGAGGTAACTGAAATCTTGGGAAAGGTAGAATTTAATATTGAAATGAACATATTACTTTGGATTGGTGTTTAGAGATTGTTTAGGAATCGGTACCTGCCATACCTCAAAGTTAGTGTTCCAGCCACACTATTATAGTGATGACAGTAGAATATTCTTTCCCATTCATTTGCCAATGAAAATGGCTTTTACAGTTATTTTGTGTAGTAAATGTTCCTATTGGTAATATCCTAACCTTCTTACATTATGAAATTGAATTGGCTATTTTGCATAATTAGTTAAAATTCTGTTACTTAAGAAAAAAAATACTCAAATTCATAGTTTGAGGCTAAAAATGGGCTTGTTTCCACTACTTGCTCCGTTATCCTTTCATTACACTCCATAATTAAGTTTACTACAAGTGTCTGGGTTGAGGGTGTAGCTTAATGGTAGAGCATTTACTTAGTATGCCTGACGTCAGCTTGGGGTTCAATACTCAGCACAGTAGTCAATCAATAAACATACTTAAACATACTTAAAGTTTAAGCCTTGAATCGAAAAAGTACAATAAAGTATTTGCACACTTTCTTTCTGTAAATCTAGAATACAGTCTTCTTAGGTGTTGGTATTTAACAGTTTTTTAATTTTCAAATTTTCTATGTTCAAGTCATTAAATTTTCTGCTAGATTGGTGTCTCAAAGAACCCATATATAACTTTCTGCTTGGGGATACTGTAAACCAAAGGTTAAAGTTTTAAGTATTTAGTAGTTTTCCAAAATCTAAAATTAGTAAACAACATGAGAAAAATTAATGAAGTTTCAGCCATTCTTAATGTAGCGAGGCTTGAATCTTTAAAAATTTTTATTAATATTAAACTATATAAACATTCGCTTGTTCCGTAAAATTTATATGTAGTTTTTGAAGTTTTAAAACTAATTCTTGGATGATGGCTTTGTATGAGTAATGGAAGAGAAAAGAAGCTTTTACTGGACTGATTTGGAGGGTCATAGAAAGGTGGCAGATTAGTAAAATGCCTCTGTACTATGGGGAAACTTTGTTTTAAGGGCAGATCCCCTAGACTGCCATTTATAGCAGTGCCGAATCTGTGTGAAAACTAGCCTCTTTAAAGTCTAACCAAGGTATCTAGTATTATGACATTTAGAGCAAGGTGAGTCAAGGAATCTCTGAAGCTGAATCTTTTTAGTCACCTGGACTCTAAGCTTAAAGTTTTATATTTGAATTCCTAAATGTTGATTCCCAGTCAGATTGATTGGACCTCTAAATTATATTAATTCTCAAAAAAGAAATTTTTTTCAGCATAATGCTATTAACTTATATCTTTCTATAGCCTTTCCTGAAGTAGCTAGACCTGACATTTTGAAATTTATTTGTGAATTGGGTATTAATTTAAATGTCTATAAACATTCACAACAAGGAGAGAAGTTGGGCTGGTTTCAATCTGGATGTGTTTATAGACACATTTCTGAATAGAAAGAGTTGGTAATTTGGAGTTTTAAAAATGCATTCTCACTTTAAATTGATAATTAAAATCAAATTTAAATTGATTATTTAAATATTATTTTGATTTTCAGATTAGCCCACAACAACTTTCTTATTTAAAATGTATAGTATGTCGGGCCAGGTTGAGGCTCAGTGGTAGAGCGCTTGCCTAGTATGTGTGAGGCACTAGGTTCGATCCCCAACACCATACAAAAATAAAAAAATAAATAAATAAAGGTATGTGTTCTCTACAACTAAAAATAAAAATAAAAAATTCATAGTATGTTTGTGAACACCCAGATCCTAGTATCCAAAGAAGAAAATTGGGTAGCTAAGTGGAAATTGTCAGGGCTTAGGAAGCTGGCTCAGCAGAGCTTCAGGTAGGAGGCCCAGGGCAATTGTGGCAGGAAAGGATCCTGAACGATTGGGTAATGTTACTTACTGGAAGTGGTATTTTGGTAGGAATGAAAAAAATGTGTAAATGCCTCAGTGAACATCAACATTATATTGCCCTTATATCAAGTCAGATACTGCCTATTTTTATTTATTTTTCTCCCTCTTTCATGTGTTTCATTGTTTTGTTTATGGACCTAGTAGTTTCTTGTATACTCAGTGACTGATATAAATATTATGAGTATTGATTGAGTCTTGATTTCCTTGTTCAACATCTTCAAAAATAATTCAAAACAAATCAAAAAATGAATTAAATATTAGCAGATTCTTAGTCCTGATTTTATTGAGCTTCAAACTTCATGGATCATGGTATATTTTATATCATCATAAGTTCAATTTTTACTTTAGAAATCTGTGATTAAATGCAGTAAGATTATTTTTACTTATTTTTATTTATTTTTTTATTGGTTGTTCAAAACATTACAAAGCTCATGACATATCATCTTCCATACATTTGATTCAAGTGGGTTATGAACTCCCATTTTTTACCCCAAATACAAGTTGCAGAATCACATCGGTTACACATCCACATTTTTACATAATACCATATTAATGACTGTTGTATTCTGCTACCTTTCCTATCCCCTACTATCCCCCCTCCCCTTCCCTCTCATCTTCCCTCTCTACCTCATCTGCTGTTGTTTAATTCTCTCCCTTGTTTTTTTTTTTTTCCCCTTTCCCCTCACAAACTCTTATATGTAATTTTGTGTAACAATGAGGGTCTCCTTCCATTTCCATAGTTTCCCTTCTCTCTCCCTTTCTCTCCCCCCACTCGTCTCTGTTTAATGTTAATCTTTTCCTCATGCTCTTCTTCCCTGTTCTGATCTTAGTTGCTCTCTTTATATCAAAGAAGACATTTGGCATTTGTTTTTTAAGGATTGGCTAGCTTCACTTAGCATAATCTGCTCTAATGCCATCCATTTCCCTGCAAAATCCATGATTTTGTCATTTTTTAGTGCTGCGTAATACTCCATTGTGTATAAATGCCACAGTTTTTTAATCCATTCATCTATTGAAGGGCATCTAGGTTGATTCCAAAGTCTAGCTATTGTGAATTGTGCTGCTATGATCATTGATGTGGCAGTATCCCTATAGTATGCTCTTTTAAGGTCCTCAGGGAATAGACCGAGAAGGGCGATAGCTGGGTCAAATGGTGGTTCCATTCCCAGCTTTCCTAGGAATCTCCATACTGCTTTCCATATTGGCCGCACCAGTTTGCAGTCCCACCAGCAATGTACAAGTGTACCGTTTTCCCCACATCCTCGCCAGCACTTATTGTTGCTTGACTTCATAATGGCTGCCAGTCTTACTGGAGTGAGATGGTATCTTAGGGTGGTTTTGATTTGCATTTCTCTGACTGCTAGAGATGGTGAGCATTTTTTCATGTACTTATTGATTGATTGTATGTCCTCCTCTGAGAAGTGTCTGTTCAGGTCCTTGGCCCATTTGTTGATTGGGTTGTTTGTTATCTTATTGTTTAATTTTTGGAGTTCTTTGTATATTCTGGATATTAGGGCTCTATCTGAAGTGTGAGGAGTAAAAATTTGTTCCCAGGATGTAGGTTCCCTTTTTACCTCTCTTATTGTTTCTCTTGCTGAGAAAAAACTTTTTTAGTTTAAGTAAGTCCCATTTGTTTATTCTTGTATTTAACTCTTGGGCTATGGGCGTCCTATTA